TATTCTATTCTATTCTATTCTATTCTATTCTATTCTGTTCTGTTCTGTTCTGTTCTGTTCTGTTCTGTTCTGTTCTGTTCTGTTCTATTCTATTCTATTATGTATGGAGAGATATACTGACTGGTTTGGGCATAAACCAGATTAGCTTTTTTTAAAAATACCTCATACCATTAATTCCTTTGACTTATTATTTTTACTTGCAATCTACACTTTACATAATGTACTGTAATGGGTATGTATGTACATATATACTGTATAAAATTTATGTATCTGACTTTATTAATTTGAATCTTATCTGAGTATTTGCATGTTCACATGTGTACTGCAGGAACATAAGAAATAATAATAACCTCTAATTTTAAGTACAATCTGTAAAAGTAAAAGAAGAACACTGTAAATGATTCTGAAAAAAATCTCTAATGGCACAACCCAGTCAAAACATGACTGTTGAAGAAAGCTCTTGCTGATGTTAATTACTGATAGCAAGGGTTGTTGCCCATACTTTTAGATCTCACGGTAAGCCCTGGTTTCTCTAAAAACAAGTGATGGGATTCAAAAAATTTTACTACCTGTTCTGTGGGCATGGCTTGGTGGGCATGGCGTGGCTTGATGGGTGTGGCAGGGGAAGGTTACTGCAAAATCCCATTCCCTCCCCACCCCAGTAACCTGCTTTCCAGCTCTGTTCTCCTGTACAGGGCAACAAAAGAAGTTCCAGCTGATCAGCTGGGACTCGGGAGGCAGAGAATAGATGGGGGCACGGCCAGTCAGAGGTGGTATTTGCTGGCTTTCCAAACTACTCAAAATTTCCTCTACTGGTTCTCCAGAACTGGTCAGAACCTGCTGAATATCCCCTCTGCTAGAAACTATTCTACAAGTGTTGGCCTCCTCATTATGAAATTCCCTCCTATCTTTGCATTTTGTAGTGAATTGTTGTTGTTAGTCGCGAAGTCGTGTCCGAGCCATTGTGACCCTATGGACAACATTCCTCCAGGCCTTCCTCTCCTCTACCATCCCCCGGAGTACATTTAAGCTCACACAGATTGCTTCAGTGACTCCATCCAGCCACCTCATTCTCTGTCATCCCCTTCTTCTATTGCCCTCAACCATTCCCAGCATTAGGCTCTTCTCCAGTGAGTCCTTCCTTCTCATTAGGTGGCCAAAGTATTTGAGTTTCATCTTCAGGATCTGGCTTTCTAAAGAGCAGTCAGGGTTGATCTCCTCTAGGACTGACCAGTTTGATCGCCTTGCAGTCCAAAGGACTCGCAGGAGTCTTCTCCAGCACCAGAATTCCAAGGCCTCAATTCTTTGGCGCTCAGCCTTCCTTACGGTCCAACTGCAGAGAATACTAGTGTATTCTCTGATGCATAGTAAAATCACTTACTGCATCCGCATAGCCCTCTGTCAACCCTTTTAAGGCAACCTGCATCATTTAGGCAAGGATGAGTCAGAAGAGCCACTGGCAGCCCACTGTGAGTTTTTAACACTACAGTTTGCAGAATCACTAAAAGTCATGCAGTGTTTGAGGCCAACTAGACAGAACCTAATAAGAAGTCAGGATTAATAGTGTGGAACTTGCATTGGTAGCCAGTTCATTTCCAGTTGCAAGTAAAGACATGTGTGATCACTTACAAAGTCCTACATGAGTTGGGACCTGGGTTTTTTCAAATCTGTTTCTTATAAATAGAAATTGATTATCCAAGGCATCCATGTAAGAGAGTGTGAGATTTAATGATAGAATCCTTGAAAACAGGCACTCTCACTGATTGAAAGCCTCCCAGCAGATATTAAAACGAGCTCTTTATTTTTAATATTCAGCCAGATTTAGAAATACAGCTTTTATAGAATAGAATAGAATAGAATAGAATAGAATAGAATAGAATAGAATAGAATAGAATAGAATAGAAGTTGGAGCATTTACAACTTCTGGAGGCAAGTTGTTCCACTGATTAATTGATCTAACTGTCAGGAAATTTCTTCTTAGCTCTAAGTTGCTTTTCTCCTTGATTAGTTTTCATTCATTATTTCTTATCCTACCCTCAGGTGCTTCTGAGAATAGCTTGACTCCCTCTTCTTTGTGGCAGTCCCTGAGATAATGGAACACAGCTATCATGTCACCCCAGTCCTTCTTTTCATCAAATTAGACATACCCAATTCCAGCAACCGTTCTTTATATGTTTTAACTTCCAGTCCCCTAATCATCTTTGTTGCTCTTCTCTGCACTCTTTCTAGAGTCTCAATATCTTTTTTACATCGTGGTGACAAAAAGTGGATGCAGTATTCCAAGTGTGGCCTTACCAAGGCATTATAAAGTGGTATTAATACTTCACGTGATCTTGATTCTATCCCTGTTTATGCAGCCTAGAATTGTGATGGCTTTTTTGGCAGCTGTAGCACACTGCTGCACACACGTCAGCAAACTATTTTTACTTCTACATGTACATATACCTCTTTATATGCTGCCTTTTGTTCATTAGAATTCCCACTTCTCTCTTTTTCAGGAACTAAAAAGCTCCATTCAATCATAATTTTCTTGTTCTTCCTCTTAACCCATTCACTCTTGCTTTGTTGTTTGTTGTTTTATTTGTTTTGAAATTGGCTCTTAATTCATTTTCTCTATACAACCAAAGTATCTCAGTGTATTCCTTTCATACTGCTTACTCCCATTCATATTCAATCTGCATTCATTAAGCACCCATTAATTCTTGATCTTTTTTTTAAAAAAAACACACCATATACTCTTTTTAAGTACTAAATATACAAGTTCATCAACTTATTTATTTATTTATTTATTTGATTTGATTTGCCAATTGTTTACAAGATAATAAGTATAAATGTATACATAGTTGTGAATACATGAAATGGTTACATATAAGAAAAATAAAAGAATAAGAGAAACAATAGGACAGGGACGGTAGGCACGTTGGTGCGCTTATGCATGCCCCCTACAGACCTCTTAGGAAAGGGGTGAGGTCAATAGTAGACAGTCTAAGGTTAAAGTTTTTGGGGTTTGGGGAAGAAACTACAGAGTCGGGTAGAGTATTCCAGACATTGACCACTCTATTGCTGAAGTCGTATTTCCTGCAATCAAGTTTGGTGCGGTTTACTTTGAGTTTGTATCTATTGTGTGCTCTTGTGTTGTTATGGTTGAAGCTGAAGTATTGGTCTAATTTTGCTCTAATTTGCACATCCAATCTTTTTTATACATAGGCTAAATTTCAGATTATGTTTATTAATTTTGAAAGTCAAAAAAATTAATGAAAAGCTCTTAATGAATATTATTACTGCATCATGAATGCCTATGTTGTGATTCAGTCACTTTTGAGCTACCACAATACTTTTGCTGTGTTCCTGAATACAGTAATCCAAAGGCTTCTAAACAAACTGCTCCAAATGCCATCACTCCAAAAGCACTGCGCTATTACTTCATCCTCCATGCCTTCCTTAAAGGTGTTAAGAATGTAATATATTTTTTTAATGTTTATTGATACATGATTCCAAGTCACTATACTCTACACTGCTTTCTGTAAAGATTATGTGGCTCATATAACATTCCATGGAATACATGTAAAATTTATAGCGTTCAGAAGTTACATCTCCCAATATCTCCTAAAGATTGAATTTGAGCAAATCTGAAGGACTAGGAATTCCCTTAACTTTCGATAACAAGGACAATAGATCTGGACTGCCAAATCTACATAATCTTTAGAAAGCTAGATTTTTTTGTTTCTCTTTGCTGCCATGTAGTGGCCATCTACATGTTTGCAGTCCTGTTTGCCATATGAATACAAATTAATAATTTTCAAACAATTTTAGCAATATTGAGTTCTGGATTTATGTATGCTTTCTTTCTTAAGGTATATATATTATTTCAGTATTTGCAAAAAACACAAAGATTTCACTCATTTAAAAAAAAATCCTGATGTGAACTTTTTGCTGAAAGAAAAAAAGTCTGAACTGATAACTTATGGATTTATGTATTAGAAACGGCTACAGAGGGGGAAAAGTAACGTGCCAATTACTTGATAGAAAGAAGGACAGAAGTCAAAGTTCTGTTTTTTTTAATTCTTTTTGCTTATTTTTTTTCTTATTCCTTTTCTTTTCTTTTTTATACTTTTATTGTAATGTAAAATTTTAACTAAAATATTAAAAGGGGTTAGCATTCTGGTTTTTAAATTTTAGTTTTATTTATTAAATTTCAGTAACATTAAAATTACATAGCAGTTTGTGTTCATGCTGCTATTTAGAATAAGCATTTCTGTTTGCATTTCATTCAGAATCACTTGTACTGCGTACTACTTTATTTATATACATGAAGGTAGAAAAATCTAGGTTCCACGAACAGTCATGTTAAGGTTTTTTCTCTTTTTCTATTTCAGCATATGGCCACTTCCTACTTTTACTTTTGAGAACATTTCTTTTTTATACTGAAAACAACATAGCAAAGATATTCACGAATAAACCAAGGCCAAAGCAGAGTGGCATTCAAAAAACATTTGTATGGGGGAGCAGGATGAATAAATATAGGATTCTTCTATTCTGTTAACAACAATTTATAATTTAGTAAATTACTATTAATATAAATGAAGACAGATATAATTTTTGAGAATGAACCCCCCCCCCCCCAAAAAAAATTAAATAGATGAAATAAATAATATATAGTCCTACCATTTTGGTATCAACATTTTCTAATCCTCTTATCAGTAAAGTTAGCATGGATAAGAGATATGATTATGAGCTATATTCAATTCAGAAACAAGGATCCAAATTGCTCTTAAAGGTGGAATATCACATTCTTAATAAACAGAAGTACTATAATATAAACCACAATTAAGACATTTGGGGTACTGTATTTATTTTAGTAACCTAACAGCAAATAGAAGAATTCTGCATTAATAGCATCATTTGCATTATTAGAAACATATATGGAGATTTAAAAGGACTGTCCTTTTTAACATACCATATTTATTCTAAAACTTTATTATGAATAGTAGGAGAAGAATGCATCTAACTGGAAAATTAAAAGACTCTGAATTAGTGTATGTATTATTGTCTTTCCATAATAAACAATGTTTTCAAGAAAGGACTGGATGGGTTTGCAGAAACTGAAATATATTTTGTGATTTTTGTTTTTTGATATTTCATATGCAAGTAAATTTCCCACATTCTTCTTCATCCCTCAGTAGGAATCCTTATGGAATACATAAATTGCACATTAGATGTACAGAAAAATCAGAAACAACATGATTGTTTTAATTCAAAAACTAATATACTGGAATTTTGCAATTCCCAAGACATTGTCCCAATGGTGCTTTTTCAAAAGGCAACAGGACTTTGCTTTTCCTTGAAGACGTTTCACTTCTCATCTCTTGCAGGAGAAGTGAAATATCTTCAAGGAAAAACAAAATCTACCTTTGGGACAACCATGACCTGGATGACTGAAAATCTCCATAGACATTCTAAAGCATTATTTCTGAGAATGTTTTCCCTCATGTTTCATGAATACAGGGAAGAGAAGTATACAGAAACACTATACATTTGAATTTTTTTTCTTATGTGTTTCTCACATTTAGAAATAAGCAATAGGCACAGGCATTTTCTTATGACATGTTTGATTCATTTCTTCTCTTTCTTTATCTCTTATTATTGTGAATTACATTATTATGTACACTGATAAATTTTGGAACAGTGATTTTTTTTTCTTAAATCATTCTGTAGCCTAACAGCTGGATGACAGTAGCATTTGAAAGGTACCCACATACCACTTGCATTCATGAACAAACAGCGACAGCAAGAAATTGCACCATTAACACATGTATGTTTGATGAGTTCATCAAATAACTCTTGCAGTTCTGGTACCATTTAAAAAATAATTCAGTGGACTTCTTGCCAATGACTTGAGGAGAAATATTAGTCTTCTGTATGACATTTCAGTACCAATGATTTGTATTTCAACTCCAGCAAGTGTTTCTTTACAACTATTGATTGTGTTTTGAGAGGGCAGGAGGCCCTGTTACAGTAGAGTGAATTGTACTTTGAGTGTATTAGATGTATTCTTATTCAGGTAGTATATAAACAAACGACACTGGGAAGACACCTTTTCTGTGAGGGTATCCTTCAATCCTGCCATGCTGAAAAAATAAAACAAAAGGAAAGACTTTTAAAAGAGAGGATGAACAGTGCACAATAATTAGAAGCTCTTTAAGAAGATGTACATGCTTATCAGTATTTCTGATCGCATCATTTTCCATATATTGGAATAGGGATACATTAGATGGGATGAGTCTGTACCCAACTGCTAAGAACACCTTTAATGCTTATCTTTTGTAGCAGACCAAGAATCCTGAATACTGCCAGGCGACTAAATCTATTTACCATTTTCATTTTTCCACAATGGTCCCAATATAGCATTATTCTAAGGCATAACTGAAAATTAATACAAAGCTTGGAAGATTTTTTTGAAAAGTTAGATGCCATCTAAAAATAGATGCTAAATACTCAGAATATTCCAGTGCCTGCTGCTGCCTGATATACACCTGCCATGCTATCCATTGCCAACAACAGACCCAATGACTTACGGGAATAGGAAAACTTTTATAGGCTCCTTCACAGAATCTTTGCCACAAACCTGAAGTCTTAGGGATTGTGTTCTGTGCTCAGTAAGGAATTTCCAGTAATAATCATACAGAATTAAATGACACTTACCCACCAGTTGGAATCCTCTTGTCCTTCTACTATAATGATTTCTCCAGCCACGAAAGTGAGTTCATCTTCATGATCAGCCTGACAATCATAAAGGGCTCTGACACGATGTAGAAAAGATGTATTCTGCCATAAGCAAACAGTATTAAGCTTAAGAGTATGGATTTACTGTATGTCACACAGAATTGCAATAGCTAATCATACAAATATAAGGCAAATAAAAAGAAGAAATGTTCAGAACAGTAGGTACCTCTGGGGTTTTAAAGATAATTTATGTATTTGTGCATGTGTATTATGTATTTATGTATTTGTGCATATAGCCAAGCTGACTGGATTTTTTTATTAGTACCAGTTTATGAAATGAAATCTTCTTCTTGTGAAGAAGATCTAAACATGTAAAATGAGACCATCACACAATGGATTTCTTAATTGCTAAATATTTCAGTGCAGATAATTATACACTGTGGCATTTCTATTTTTTAATTGAAATGTTGAACAACCAACAGTTAATTGCTCCCAAATCATATCTGAATATGGGCTCATATATATTTAGACAATATCTTGGAGATTTAATTTCAAAAGAAGAAAATTACCTTAGCCCATAAATGGGTATTATATGCAAAAATAACCTCAGGATATTAAGTTTAAGAACCTACCATGTGCCCCCTTTTTGGCAGTGGTGGAGGAATGTCATCTGATGATTCAGAAGACCGAGAAGAAGCCCGGTGATTCTCTCTTGAGTTTTGGTTTGGCTCGGAATCCATTCCTTCCAAGGCAGCTGCAATGTAAAAAGAAATGTCATTTTCATATCATTTTTGGATGATCTGAGTGATTATGCAGAATGCATGTTGGTGTGTTAATGCTGTATAATTTGATTCAATACTATTTGTACCATATATGCTTCCCATACAATATAGGACACCTAATGGATCACTTCTGTAAGAGTGGATTCAAGAATAACTGTGCAGCCATTTGCCAAGATTGATTTTTATAGAGCATGGGTTCAACTTCATAGCCAAAATGGCTTCTCTCGAATCTATAGAGCTATAGTAGTATGCTATAAAAGCTGTCACTTCCATCACAGATCAGGGTAGGCAACCTTTATCATCTCCTAGACCAGTATTTCTCAATCTTGGCAATTTTATGTGGCAATTTTATATTATTTTATTGCCAACTGCCAGCTGAAGTCCACATATCTTAAAGTTGCTAAGATTGAGAAATATAGCTGTACATCATAATCTCAGTGTTCTTATGGCTGATGGGCTTCAAGAGATATAATAGCAATTGTTTTGCTTTTATTGTTTCCGGAATTGCTAGTTTTAAAAGTGGAAATGACATCACACAATAAATCAAAAGTGTTTATTATGACTGAACAGAAGTCAGATTTGAAGTGCAAAATGTGTTTTAGAAGGAATATGTAGTATCTGTCAAAATATTTTAAAGCAGTTATATGGCAGGAACCATTTTATCCCAGCAAAAAAAAAAGTTCTTTGATATATTCCACCTCAATTTCCAAATCAGAGATTTTGATCAAAATTAGCTATCAAATAAATAGTTTATAAATTATAACATTATTATTATTTTAGGATAAACTGTGAAATAGATGACTTTCTGTGTTTAAATAATTTGATAAATATTTCTGAATTTGGATTGGAAAACTTTTCTCTATTAATTTCTACATGCTATCAATGCAAAGTTTATAGCACTCATATAATTGCACTTTCTGTAGCACTACTTTTCATAATGATAAAACTTGAAAAAGTATTTTTTTTCCCATCTTCCTCCCCCGGACAACTATTGCAGACAGTTATGTAGGTTGACTTTTTTCAGAACTGAAATGCCTCCCTGAAGAAAGAGATATAAATTCTCAGTTACAAATAAATAGTATATTTTAAAGAAATTATCTTACCTTGCTGCCAGGAATCTTCAGAGAGTTCAGATGGCTGAGAACTGAGGGAAATAATGCAGGTGGAGAGGAAGAGGGAGAGGAAAATTATACGCATACATACATACATACATACATACATACATACATACTATGTATGTACTCTATGTACTCTAATATATATGTATATAGAGATGAATAATCCTCTCCTTGTTACTGAACGTGTCTAAATGATAGCCTCTGTGTAGATATTCTAGTGCAAAGTAGCTTAAATTTGCATTTACAAAATACCCTTAAGAGATTTCCACAGTCCCAGTTATTCCCAACTGCTGGCTGATAAAGAAAAGAAGAATAGTGATAATGATTTTTTTTGGTCACAGTAGCTTTTATATTCCCATTACCAACCACCTCAAATGCAATCTCACCTCACATGCAATCTCACCTCACATGCAATCAACGTGAGAACCTCTTAGACTCTACTCAAAACCAGGATGTACCCTCAGAGTAAACCCAGCTTTAGAGGGGTAGCATTTTTATTCAGTTCTGCATATTGTTGTTGTGTCCAACCCATCACAACCCCATGGACAGCGTTCCTCCAGGCCTTCCTGTCCTCTACCATCCTCCGGAGTCCATTTAAGCTCACGCCTACTGCTTCAGTGACCCCATCCATCCAGCTTCAGTGACCCCACCTTATTCTCTGTCATCCCCTTCTTTTGCCCTCAATCTTTCCCAGCATTAGGCTCTTCTCCAGTGATATTCTGTTCCCCAAGGCAGTGTTCTAGGACCAACTCTCTTCATACTCT